AATTATTATATTGAGTCATGCGTAACAAAAAAAGAACAAATAAAAAGCAAAATTGATGGCCAAGTTCCATAGTAACAGAGTATTTCCCAGAAATGAGAATTTAGTAATTAAAGTTATTCAAAATTTCTGTCGGTAGAAAATCCTATAATTTATACTTAAGTTTAACTCGTAAACATGCAACTGACTTCCTTTTAGGCCACCCATTATTCACATCTGCTAGATAGATTTATTTTTTACATTTTAGCTAACTTTTAAGTTTGAAGGAAAAATGCTAATTTCTCAAATGTCAGATATTCTGACCTAATTTCCAGCAACCAGATTCATTTTTTAGATTTCTTCTCAAATGGAAGAAACTATTCAGAATACGTTTAGTTTTCTGGAGTTCTACAGAAGGTCTTCGCTTCACTACAGCTGAAAGCTCTTGAAGTAATGCTGTAAGTCACAGGAATGTTCACTTGCTGTCTGAATTCTTATCCTTCTCCCTTCAAAGTCTATGATCCTTTTTAATAAGCTGTTTTACAGCAGTCATATACTGTAAAGCAAGCAAGCATTCACCAATGTGAAATACAGGTTTACTTAAAGTGATATAAGAGCTTATGAATGTTGGATTAATATCTTTTATGCACCTTAAATTACAGCATGCAAGGAGATAAATATTACCAGACTGCAGTATAGTGTACCACACAAAATTGTTCTTTGAAGTGAAGGAAAATAAATCTCATTTTAACAGAAGTAATCCATGAACGTATATTAATTCTCAGAATAAAAAACACGGTAGAATAAAACTTGTAAGATTCCAAGGTCAGGATTTCACACTGAAAATGAAGCAAATTCCCACCAACATTTACAGTAAACAATGGAAAATACAGCACTGCAGATAATACATGACACCACTCAAAACAGATTATTTCCTTTGAGAGGTCAATACATCTTTTCCACTTCTACCTACGAGAGATTTTCAGGAATTAAAAAATGCCAACAATAGCATGCGGACTGATTTAAAAAAAATATTTCTGAAAGCACGAGTTTCAAAGCTGCTGCTGGACTAATTCATACTTCTGAAGTTAAAAGCCTCTCATCACTAACACTTGCAATTCCATTTTAAAACATATACATGAAAAGTCTTTGTTGCATACATATTTTTCAAGAACAGGAGGCATCAATATGTAATGTAACATGTAACATTAAGACTGCCATCAAGACTGGCCCTGACATCTTCCATTTGATTCAGTTCTCTGTCTGCCCTGTTGTGCAAACAATAACATTGTGTTGGTAGGTGAAACTAAAACCTAATGTGTACTCCAAATTGAAAAATAATTTATAGTTGCAGCAACTAAATACAATTAAAAAAGACTTAAAATCTTACTAGCACTTGCAATAGCAATACCCTTAAAGGTATATATATATCAGCAGTGTCAAACCTCATATTGCTGCCCTTCTGCCCTATACAAGTAACACTTCTGCCCTATATAGCAACACTTACACATTGTGTGGACAAAGACAGCAGCCCTGATCAGTAGGGAAGCAGTTTATTCCTGGTACTAATGTTTTCAGTGATATGCTGAAAAAAAAGTTATTTCCTAAGACATTTACTTAGTGTATCCCAGCAGCACAGTTAATTCTATAATATTTCTATAATCCTGGAGAATAAACATTCTAACCTTTTTTAAAGTACTTCTACATTGAACTTTCACCTGAAAACCACTATTCAAACACTGATATTCACATCAGAACAAAAACTGAGAAAGCAGTTTTAGATTAACAGTACATCTTATTCTGCGGGCAGCTCCTCTCATAGAGAAGCCATCTTCAATTATGCCAATAAATACAACTCTATGCGAGTTTCCACTGTTGGACATTGCATACAAAACAATATGTTTAGGTGGGTAGCTGTGTCAGCATGCATAGACTGCAAAGGAACAAGTAATAGGTTTATTCCACGCTGAAAAAAGAAAAGAGAAAACACAAAGTTTCACCTGTGAAGCCTTCTTCAGGTGTGAGAAAGGCAGGGCAGACAGCAAAGATTAAATAGCACAGAAGAACAAAAGCTGGGATAGGGGAGAGGCAGAGAGGCCACTCAGGAAGTGCAAAGTGGAGAGGGGTAAAGAAAGGTGTGAAGTCAAAACCAGCATGAGAATACAGAAGATTACGTGAAAATAAATCAGTCATTGAGAGAAGGGGGAAGGTGTGAACCTAGTGTCAGGATGAGTTTAGTTTCTGTAGTCTTTCTGCTATGGGAGTTGAGAAACCCTTCATTGAGAACAGATACGGAGAGATCAGTGTGATCATGGCCGTCTGAGGTGAAATGAGAAACTATGGGCTTGGAGAAATCTTTAATCTTCACAGTCCTAACATGTTCTCTGAAGCGGTCTCCTAGCCTCCTTCCGGTTTCCCCAACGTAGATAGCTGGGCATTTTTTGCAAGAGATACAGTAAATGAGGTTGCTAGAAGTACAGCATGTTGTCTGAGTGATCCGGAATTCACCTGAGGGGCCCTGAATGAGCGTGTTGTTAGATATGTATTTGCAGGTGATGCAGCGTGTTCTGTTGTAGGGGAAGGTGCCTGGTGGAGATGATTGCCGAGTGCGGTCAAAGGAGCTGTGAACAAAAAGTTTATGTAGATTGGGTGTTTAGCGGTAAGAGATGATTGGGCGGTCAGAAAAAAGGGAACTGATGGAGGGATCATCCTGTAAAATGGAGTAGTTGTTAATAGTGGTCCCAGGGGTAGAAGGTATGTTAGAGTGGTAGGGAAGCACCAAAGGAATGTGGTTGTGAGACCGGGAGTTCCTGGTCGAGTAGAAGAGCCAAGGGCTGTTTTTGGCCCGGGGGAAGGCCCTATCGATAACATGGGTGGGGTATCCTCTTTTGATGAAAAAGGAATACATTTTGAGTGCTTGGTTCCGGAAATCCATGTCGTCACTGCAGAGTCGACGTAGCCTGAGGAACTGTGAAAAAGGAAGAAGGTTTTTAGTGTGAGTGGGGTGAAAAGAGCTGTACAGGAGATAGCTGTGTGAATCTGTGGGTTTGTAAAAGACCGAGGTGGAGAGACCGAGGTTACAAAACAATATGTAGACAAAGGAACTTCCGTAACAACTAAGGAACAGACTTGCGGACAGACAAGTCAGGAGAGGGATATAAAAGATTTCAAAGACCCCAAGTATCCCATGGAGCACTGTTAAATCAATTATCAGGAAGAGGACACATAAAACTACTCAGAATCTTCAACAATCAGGTCGTCCTCCAAAACTCAGCAGCCAGGCCAGAAGGATATTGGTGAGAGAAGCACTCAAGAGACCCTAAACAACCCTCAAAGACCTATAATGTCTCATAATACAGATGTGAGAAACTGTGGGTGAGTCAACAATAGCTCAGGTAATCTGGGCTGAATGGTGAGGATGAAGCCCTCATTTGAAAAAAAGCATGAGGTCCTATCTGGCGTATGCAAAAAGGCATATGGAATTTTTTTTTGTGGTCTGATGAGACAATAATTGAGTTATTTGGCCTTGATGCCAAGTGTTATGTCTGGTGGAAGAAAAGCACTGTTAAGCATGGAGGTGGCAGCATAATTATGTGGGGTTGCTTTTCATTGGAAGAGACTGGTAGGCTTGTCAAAATAAGAGGAAAAAATGGATGGAGCAAAATATAGGCAGACCTTGGAGAAAAACCTGGAACACCCTGCAAAAGATCTACAATTTAGGACAGAGCATCATATTTCAACAGGACAATGACCTCAAACAAAAAGCCAAAACAACCTTTGAATGACTTAAAGAAAAGCAGAAGTCCGTGAGTGGCCCAGTTTAAGTCCATACTTAAATCCCAAAAAAACCTGCAACAGCTGGAACACTTTTGCAAGGGTGGGGAAAAATTAAACCCGCAAGATGTGAAAAGCAGGTTACAACATACTGCAAAAGACGAGACTTGAAACTGCAAAAGGGGGAACAACTAAATATTAAATGCTTAAGGCCTCAGGGTGAATACTTGTCCAAGCTGGATTTTTCGTTTTTCTATTTTTCATAACTTTTTTTACAATAAAAATGATTATGACCCCATCAAAATGTGAAGTGTGTTTTGTTAATCATAAAAAATCCTGTTACAATATGCTGCAAAATAAGGTCGTAACAGAGCAAAATGTGGTAGAGGCCCAAGGGGATTGAATACTTTATACACCCACTGTAGATGGAGACTAACGATAAAAAAATACCCCACTATTTTAAGCCCTTTAGAACAGAAAGTATATAATTCTAAGTATAATTAAATATGGACTGTGTGGCAAACCACTTTTATTACATGCTTTTAAGTGAACCATGCCAGAATTCTTTTAAAAAAGACTTTCTGAAATCAGATTTTCAGGGACATTGATCCAGATGTACTTTTTATAAGGTTACAATCAGTATGTGTGCATCAGCAGACCTATTAAAATCAAATACTAATGCTCAGTACAATGTATAACTGCGCTGCAGAAAAGTAAAGTGATGATCCATTTGCCTGTATCAGCAAAACTATGTACATCAATATCAGACAAATCAATAGAGCATATAAATCACAAACCCAACAGCAGCATTGGCTTGGTTTTCTTTTTTTATATTCCTTTAGAACTGGTAGAAGTAACGGGTAGGCAATGCTTATTTACCAATTAATACACCTTATGCCAAAAATATTTACAGCTTATTTTCATTACTACTGTAGCGTCATTATTTTGAATCTTTGTCAACTGTACATTTTAGGAATTGGAAGGATGCACTAATGGCAAATATTCTTAAGGAATATCTTTAAGAATTTGCTGGAAGAAAAGTGGAATCACATCAGTTAAATATCAAATATAATATCAGTTTTGGCATTTTGCTACCAAAGATAGCAGCTAGTTAACTCTTTTTACTCACGAAAAATAATTATTAAAAACAGACTGCAAATCCCCTCAAGGTGATACAATCTAATTGGAGTATGAGGCGCGGAATAATTTCTTTCTCATGAAACAAAAATAATGAAGCAGCTAGAAGAGCATTTGAAAAAAAATCTCACATTTATTTACTGTCAAACAAGTGTTGAACTTTACATCAGTTATTAGTGATGGGCACTTTAATAACATGTTTACACAAAATAATGAAATAAGCATACCAGTGCTGAAAGAATTTACACATCATCCGAGATCATTTTGTTGATTTTGAAATCCATAAATAAATAAATGTCCAAATCCAATCAGCTGAAATGTAATTATTTAAAGGATAAAAATTGATGCCAAACAAATTGGTCTCAAGTGCCTAGTGCCCATTGTTCTGTCAAGTATTTTACAGAAAAAGACATTTGAATAATCTAATTTACACCAAATTTGTGCAAGGCATGGCTTTATTGGCTTCAACAGAGGGAATTGTCCCCCCAAACTAAGATAAATTCTTTTGGCAATATGAAATTCAGACTTGTTCTGAAGGACAAAATTTGAAATTTGTATGTAAGCAAAACACTGTTTACAAGTGGAAAAAAGTGAATATGGGTTGACCTTGTTTTTGTTGATTTTTTAAAAAGTTTTGTAGCATTTTTTGTTCAAACGTACTACAATGAATGAAGTGTAAGAATAAACATTTTATAACGTATGTGCAACTTTTACACAATAGTTTCTTCAAAGTCTTAAAATCTTCTTTAAAATGTCTTTTATATTTATGGTTGTCATGAATTTTATTTTACACTAGCAATACAACAAAATATATTTTCTTTAGCCATTATTCTTGAGAACAGTTCAATGTACAATTGAGAAAATATAAGGCCTGTGGCTTGATTGCTAGTGGTTATACGTTCCAATCTTCACCGTGATGGAGATGACTTTGTTCTAACAAATGATCCAGGACCTTTACATTCCTAATTTCAGAAAGTCTCATTAGGAATATTTAAGGACAGTCCAAAAGTTCCAGTCCTGGTCCCACAGCCTGCTTTTGTATATAATACAAAGCAAGCTTAGACGAAAATGACATAACTGTATGTACAACCTTTTACTTAGAAAACTGCTGATTTGGAATGGCCAGTACATTTTTAACTTGAGTTGTTTAACAGCAGCAGCACATTTAAATACATAGTTGGTTTGTTTTTGAAAAAAAATCTTCTCTTGGTTCTGCATGTTATATACAGTCTGTCTGAAAACTTCACAAAAGATATAGATACCAGTACACAGTGACCACCACGCACCACTGTCTGTCTGTGAAGATGAGGGTGAGAATGCTAGGCCCCGGTTAAAATTTCCCCACATTGTCTGTGTTGTCTTCACGGAGGAGGGTAAGGGAAAATGTTGGAGTTGGGGTTAAGGGGTTGGAGGAGAAAGTTTTTTTTTTTAAATACACTTTAAAGGCTTGTCACCAACTGCATTTGTCCTTCCCTCACGTCTGCTTCAGGGATACAGTCTTCTTTGTTTATAGGAATAATGTATCCATCACTATTGCCTCTGCTGATCTGGTAGTAGGCCTGCAGCTGGTTTCCAGCTCCTAGATTAGGCATGCTCTTGTAGTAAACATCCTCGTTTTCACTCTTCTTTGAAGGTGAGAGGTCTTCCTCTATATCTGGACTACTCTCAGGATAGGGAGAGTCTCTTAGGTTAGGCATACTAGTGTAAAGTGAGTCTCTATTGGGGGACTGCAGGTTGTCCTCAGCCTCAGTTGTGAGCTGGGAGACATAGCTGTCTGTTCCCTCGGTCTTCACTTTCTTCTGAGGATGGTACAGAAGCGAGTGAGTCCGTTGGGGAATTAGAGGGGCCTCTAGCTCCTTGTGGTGCAGCTCCAAACCAGGGGTGTCACCGTGCACCAAAGATGAGGCATCTGCCACAATGGCATCATCTTCACTGCTGCTTCCACCCACCACCACTTTGGCTGAAGGAGTTCTCTCGATGTTGTGGCTCTTGCTGCAGGCCCTGAGGTTGTTGTGCACCAGTTCGGAAATTATCATCTTTTCAAAAGCTGCATCGTCAAGGCTGAGTCCACAATCCACGACCTGTACTGTGTCACTGTAGTCCCCATTGCGAAGTGAATAACTATTGTTAAAATTACCATTTAGCGGTAGAGTATCCATTGCACTTGTATCCCTGGCATTGTTCAGTGAGTGTCCTGGAAAGAAAAAAACACGTGAGGGGATTTACATTAGCCACAACTCTTAACTTCACCTAAAAAAATAATAAAAAAGAAAAGAGATTTAATGCTGTTCAGGACAAAATGTACTTTTAATTGCTTAAATTTACTTATGAAAAACATTACAGACAAAATCCCATAGATATAAACTTGAAGAATCTACAAGATCATTTGAATTATACTTAAGAAGAGAAAAATCATTCTTCAACAACACATAAAATATTACATATTGTATAATTTGAAAACAAATTACGTTTTCATAAGTAGCCATATACTCCAAACCATTCCCACAGAAAACGTAAAGCTGTTTTGCAGTAACATTACAAACATTCCTTGCAGTAAAATCGAGACAGTCTTTTGTCCTAAACAACACTAAAATGCAAAGAAAAAAGAAGATATCACGTACACAAAGTATAGGTAAATGTACGAATGTGTAGCCACAAACGGGCACGCTACTACATTAACAGAAGTTCTAATAACTCCTTTTATGGAGATGAGGGAAAAAAATTGAAAAAATGAACAAATACAAAAGAATTGTGTTTAACAAGGACAGCCATCTCTCGCACTAAAGGGGGCCCACAAGCACCATCCGACATCACGATAGACAGCAGGTGAAATGACTCACTTTGGACAACTCACATCATGTCTGTCTGCTCAGGCTATCTGGCCTAAGAGTAGCTGATGTACAAAAGAAAGTAAAATGATTTATTGTAACATGATGAATAATCACTGAAAAAAAATAAATCTTAGCAACTTAGTTAGAGCAAGGGTTCAGCAAAGTAAATTAAGGAGCAATCACAGCTTCTTTTTCTAGTTAATGCAACCTTTTTCCCATTGAGATGTATATGTGTGCTTTTGCAGTTTCTCTCTGCCACTGCCCCAGGCTTTAAAAGGTCAAAGTTAGCCCACAGCCCTGCAGCTTGCATCAGTCACAGTGACAGTTCTGAATGAACCCCAGTTATTACAAGTGCGGCCCATGAAAACCATGGCCAGTGAGGTCAGATGCAGAAATGTTAGGAATTTCTGTAAACATGGGTCACAAAAATCAGACCAAAGAATAAATATTAGCTGTGAAATGGGAGGAGTGTGTCAGCCATGGCGGATTTTGCTCAGCCATGGCAGGGATGACACATTAAGTAAAATCCTGCTGGAGATATGAAAGAGAGATTAAGAAAAATGGGTATTTTATGGTGACATGCTGTTGTTGAGATAAGAGATTCCTCTTTTGTACAAACATAAACATGTAAAATAGACATCACAGCGCTTATCAGCAGAAGGAAAAAAATAAAAGGGGAGGTGGAGATTATGAACATCTGGTAGTGTGAAGATCATAGCATTTGCTTATGCACTGCAATAAAATCATTTTCATCCAGACAGGTATGTCTGGAGAAAGGATGGAGTGATGTGACTAGAATGAAACTGACCACTGTGAAACTGCTGCATTTCGTGCAAAGGCTCCAAGGAAAACTGCTTGGAAACCGTCTAAAGAGCGTTCCTCTTTTTTTTAAATCAAAACTGTGCCACTAAAGCTGCAAGTTGGAATAATAATTATAAACTGCGAGGAAAGGAGCAGACTGGCCAACCCAAAATGAATCCTTGGCTTAAGCAAATATTAAATGCAGATGTATCGGTCAAGTATTGAACTGAAAGTGCAGGTTCCCGAAAACATACTGCATTTTCTTGTATGAATTATTAAAGAATGTTTTTTTTTCTCCTTCCATTCTAAACGTCACACTTTATTGTCGTTTGCTAAACAAACTTATAAATGCAGGTTCAATATAAAAAATATGTATGTGTATTCATTGAGTACTTTCTACTTCAAAGTAATGTGATGCTGAAATACATTATAACTGTAAAATACATTGCAGCTTTAATAATCTGCACAGTTTTTATGTAAGTTTTCTTTGTAGTGCAGGCATGTTGGAAAGCCTTACAATGACTTTGAAATCAGACATTCCTTAGCCTTGAGCAAGTGCTTGAAACTATGTCAATGCAAGCACATTGTTACAGTTTTCTCCCTTCACATTTCTTTTTGCCTTTGTTTTGAATACAGCAGCAAAAAAAATGGACTGAAGGCTGTGTGTTTTTCTTGTGATTTCAATTTAAAAGAATGTCTTTCCTTTCTAAGAAAAACAAACACTGAGACTAAAATGAATTTAGAAATCAATTTCATGATTTTGCTTTTCGATCAGAAATGAAGTTAAATTAAGCAACATTTTAAAATCCTGTCTCTGGAGTATGAATTTTGCGAACCACTTGCCCACTGAGTATACATCATGATCTCAAGTAAACAACTGATTGTGCCTTTTTTGTTTTTGTTGGGTTTTTTAATAATCATGCTGAAAAAAATTTACATTTGATAGGCAAAGTTAAGTTTTACTCCCATACTTGTCTCTCTGTAGGTCACTAGAGGAAAGCGTAAGGAAAAAGCAAAAAATAAGATAATGACAATGCAATTTCCAAACCATTAAAGTTGTCTTTTATAAAATGCCTTTTTATATTACAACCCCCAAATTAAAATAACTTCAAATGACAGCCTCAATGAAATTTCACAGTGTGAGGGTATAACTTTGAATTTGGTATCAGCTATAGTGCTGTACAAAGTAGGGTATTTTACCTTCTTTTATGGGTATCAGCATAGTCCAATACATAACATTATAGCTGCACTATACTACAAATACATATTTTGGGTAAACAGAACTTGGTTTTGTAAGAAGTTATTGAAAGTGCATTCAGTTTGTTTCTATCAGATAAAATCTCTTAACGCAAGAAAACATGCCCCTTTACAGAAAACGTGCAGGCCTAACACTTATGCTTAGCAACAAAATAAACGCAAGCACATTCTTCCCCACTAACAAATAAAACTACAACAATATAATGCAGCTTTAAAATGTAGTATCTCTTTCCCCAAATTATTTAGTTTTTATTACCATTAAAATTGCAAAGAATGACAAATCACAACACTCTTACATTTTCCCCTAAAATGAGAAATATATCAAGTGATCAGTCTATAGAACAATGATGGTAATTTATAGAAAACTATAGTACAGAAAATATGGAAAGGGATACTACAGCAAATTCAGCTAGACACAATGATTTGACTTCAGTACATTAATGCCTAAAAATTCCCCCAAAAACAGAAGTGTTAAGTAAGCACACCTGGTGAGTTAAACACTGGAGCCGAAGGGGCGTTACATACAACCGTTTCAGCAAGTAAGGTGTTATAAGGGTTGTTAGTGCCATGCGGCCGAAGAAGAGGGTTTGTTAGTAGATAATTGCCCGTCATCCCTGGAGCAGTGAGACAGAAGAAGACAGATAAGTTTGCTGCATCTACACTGTATGTCTCAAAAAGACCTACATCCCACACCCCACACCCCACAATGTTTAGCAAAACTTTGCCTTCCTTTCTTTTCCTCACTTTTGATTTCTACAGTCAACACTTCAACTCGAATATTTCAGTTTTAATTATGAAACCTTTTTATTTAAAAAAAACACCCAATCACCCATTCTCAGTTTTATCTTACAGTAAACAGCTGAGAAAGGAGATGTTTGGATTTCTGTCAGGACAAAATGACAAAGCTGCCAGGAATACAACACAATCAATAAATTACTGTTTCTGATTTAAAACAATTTTGTTTTGGGAAAAGGGGTGAGTATTCAGCCATTTCAAATATGTGTTCTTTTTAGGAAACCTGTTTATTAACTGTAAATGTAGTTACTTCTTTACTTTTAATGACAACATTTTTTTTTGTGTGAAATAAATTTGTCCAACTGGTCAGGCAGATGGGTTGAAATCAACAGGCCAGATTTACCAAGAATTTGGAATAACTAAGTGCAATTTGCTCTGTTATTTGTGTGAAACAAATGGAAAGCCGTTATTGTCCCTGGTCTGTTTGCTCAGTTCAAGGCATATTTCAAACCACCAAATAAGTGGCAAAATATGTTATATAATAGTATGTGTTAGGCATACTGGATTTCTTTTTATCATTAGATCATCTGGTCTAAGGAACAAAGAAAATATAAAAACATTCCTTCTACTTTTTGTTTCAAGTATGAGAAACAAAATTACCACTACAATTAGTAGGATATTCATTTTTATGACCATATTTAATGTTGACTTTAGTATATTTAAAAATGACTTGTCATTCTGACATCATATGAACCTTTGTTTCAATCCCATATTGTATATCTAACTTTAAAATCAGGATAAACTGATTTACGTTTGTCTTATGCAACTGTGATTCTGTTTATGTTTCTAACAGAAGCCAGTGAAGAACATTACACTGGTTTTCATTGATTAACAGGTGTAGGCTGAATCCCCTTAAGTAAACACCTGCTAAAATGACATGCTAATTCTCATAAAACTGCTGTTCATCTAGATTTGTCATTCCAAGTCTGATGTTGCCACAATTTGTAACGTTCACATTCAGCTGGGTAGAGGAAAACAAAGTTTTGCAGAGGGGTATTTTGAGATAGCACAGTCAGATGCACCCTATTAGCATGAAAGAAGACAAAATTGCTGTAAAGACATTATATTAGTAAGAGCAAAGGACATGAGAATGACCAAAAAGCTTGCAAATTTGGATAACAGCATTTTACATATAAGCAATATATTTATCAATTGATCATAAATAAGTTTCGTGAATATACTCAGCACTGCAGGAATGTTTAAACATTAAAAGTTAGAAAAGTATTGTTTTATATTTATTGCAACACTTTCCAGGTCATTCTGTAGCCTTAGTTTATCAACAATAATCCCAGTTCCGATTCCATGAGAGAACTTTAGCATGTTCTCTAAAGCTTTTCAAATGTTTCATGCGTTTGGTGCCAGACAGCTGAATATCAGGAAGCTTAAAGTCACTTCTAATTAACAGAAAAGATACAACTGAGGACCTAAAGAAATGCAGGTTTGGTTTAGCCGAAAAGCTGACAACCAAAGTAGAGACTTAAAAGAATCCGTTTAAATTTTTGCTGCTGTAGCTGATCGAGCAGATGGCCAGTACTTATTTTGATCTTTGTGATATGTATCTAAGCTAAACCCGTTATCAAACAGAAATCAGTATTATCATTTTAAGTTTTGTCTTTTCTATTGCTGCCAGTGTTACTTTATTTTTTTTAAACTACAAACCTGCTTCTACATAATGCCATTCCCGGGATTTTCTTTCAGGTTACAGTTGAAGCACACCAACAGAACATTAAACTAATTTAATTAAATCAAAACTGATATTGTTTGTTTAAAAGCACACCAGTTTTCACTGGCTTAATTTCAATTCAAGCACTTCCTGGTCGGATCAAACTTACAATAATATTTCAAGTTTCTGTACGATCGCCTGTTCTTTTGGTCTTGAACTGAAATTCACAAATATCACATTGTAAGGCACACTTTGTTACTGAAATAACCTTTTGCTGTGTGCCTCAAAACAGTGGTTTCAGTCAAGTAGCATCCATACAGTTTGACTGAATGACATTTCATGTATTGTGCTTTAACCTTTCTTTGTAAGATTTGTATTTTGAAGTATGTCAGTGCAGTAAGGCAGAACAACACTCTCCACCCAGCTGAGGTCACTGAAAGTTTAACATCATCTACTCATCAGCATACTTATGCCTTGCCTAAATAATGTATGAAATCATTTTAAAAAACATTTCCTATAAATAGAAGTAGTCGCTTTGCATTCTTGCCAGCCTGAGTGATGTCCACATTCTAGTCGACCATACAAGCGTTTAAAAATTTAACTTTATCTTAAGTTGGCTGACCTTTTTTTCTAACTCCTGCACAGCCGGCTTTCCAGGACTAGTCTATACTACTTTCATTTTTTTTAAATCAAATTTTGGGAAGGTTTGTGAAGGGTATGGTTATAAGGCCCTGACAAAAAGATGCTTTGGCAGATGATGTTTAGGGTAACATTACGACCACTGCCATGACGCTCGACATTTCATCCAGGCAATAGGAATGTGTCCTGATGTCAAGATGCAATACGTTTACTATGCAAGACTGTTTTTAAATCTACATGCTCAGAAATATTTTGGCTGCTGTCTATAGGATCTCTCTCCAGAGGTGATGACTATTTCAGAGATATGGGCTGTTGTGCACGTGCAACCAGAAGATTCCAAAAGTCCTAAGGCTTGGAAAAGCACGATCTTGCCCCCATGTCGGGATAGCTTTAATCAGGAAAACGAAAAATTTAGAACTGACCTTGGTTAAGGGTTGAGGTGCTGTTGATGTCACCTGAGATAAAGGAAGATTCTGATTGCTTTCTTACAGTGTCATTCCACATTCTCCTTATACGGCTCTGTTCAATAAACACAGAATACTTATTAAGACATAGCTCCTTCTTTCTTGGCTATTTTGTGGCCTTTTTCATTGCACTCTTGGATTGTTATTCACTTTTTATCTGACCCAGTTTACTCGCCAAGCACAGCATCATCATATTGCATTTGGCATAAATTGTGTCACTCAGTAATGATATAGAGTTCAATTGGCCATGGTCATTGTCCTTTAAAAGCACCGCGAGCTATAAGTAAGGGATGGGGCTGCAAAAACTAGGACAAACACAGAAGCATAGAAGAAAAAAGCAGAAGCATGGAAAATAGATACAGTGTGTGTCTGCAGATGATTTGCATATAAACTAGTCCCAATGTTCTTTCCTGGAAAGAAGGTTAATTAAAAGACGCCTGTCAGTTTCCTCTTACCTGTGTGCCGGAGGAGTAGCGAGCGCTAGTCCTTGCAGTGGATGTCTTTGCCGAACTGTGGGAGCTCTCGGTCGGTAATCCTCCACAGCAGTAAGAGTGTCGGAAACATTTGCTGTACTCTTTACGTACCTGCAAACGCAAATAATATGAGAAAATTAGTGTCTGTGTTATTCCACAATAGTGTAACATTCCTCCCTGGAGAAATGACCACGCACCATGCATCTAAAATGAATTTTGTTTAAATCTGTCCCCAGTTGTTGCATTTCGGCTAGTTGCTGTGCAAGAATACCGTTGATCAGCATGTGTTTAATAGGAGAAACTAAGCTCCTGACCTTAAAGACCCTTTATAAACATGAAAGAATGTTAAACAAAAATCAAATAAACAACAGTAGAGCTTTTAGTTGTTTTAATTTTAAAGAGGTGTCCTCTAAATTCTCTGTTAATAAATTAGGGTTTACAGTAAGCCCAGCATATATAATTATTGCAGGAATTATTGGCTGCTGAGTCATAGTAGTTTGTTATAAAATAACATGCCTAAATATTTGTTCTTAAACCATACAGTATGCTCTCAGACATGAGTTCTTTCATTCTATATTATTAACATGTGGACCCAGACAACAGCACAAAGCCAAGTTTTATTTTATTGCTGTGCAGTATGTGGTTGGTGGGGCTATTGTGCTTATTATTTAGTACCAGCTTTCTTCTTATTGGATTTATAATGTTTCATAGGTTAATTTAGCAACACCTGCTGCTGTTCTTGTTTACCAAACAGTGGTGTGGATATTGGATTTAAACCATTGGTCGAAATTAATGCACGATGACAGCTAACTCAATGCAGGTTCTGAAATGGTGGCTGATCACCTTAATTCATTTTAGTATTTAACATAAATCAGCTCCTGAAATTTGTGCTCTGGGTACCTAGTGTATACTGCTACTGGCAGCGATGTACACTAAGTGTAGTACTCTGGTGTAGTAGAAAAGGCAGCAGCAGTGACAATAAGACACATTATTTTTAAAAACTGAAACTAAAGAATACCGAGTAGTAATTATCTTTTCTATTGATGATAATGCTGTCTTAGGACTGTTATTCTTTATTTGTTCTCTAGTAATGTGCAATGAGTGGTTTGCAAGTTGTTCGGTAATGTGGTGTCTGAGAGGTTTTAGATGTGTATGATCAAGCAGCTTTTTTTTCCATTTGATGTGTGGTTTGAAGACTTTCTCAGTTAGCATGTAAAGCACTATTTTATACTATCAGCCATTTTGTTGACATTTGCACCACAAGCTGCACAAAAGCTTTTAATCTAACATTTGTAATAAAGTATGTTAAAGGCAATTCAATAAAAAACAGATATAGAGTTACCAAAAATACTCATTATTTTTAATCTCAGAAATAACACTTTTACACACGGGTTGTCTTAGATACACATGTGTTCAATTTCCAGGTAAAACCTAATGTTTCAACTCTGCATTTTTTAAGTAGCTAGGCAACACTCAAAGGGACTGGTTACTGAAAAACACTAAGGTTTGACTCCAAACATATAATGACAAACTGCTTTAACGAAGGACCCAAAGAGTAATCTGTCAACGGAACTGTAAACAGAAGTCAACCCTTAATGATTCTTGCTTATATCAAAGTTAGTTATAATAGGTGCAGGAGTTTAATTAAAGCAATAAAGTTTTAAGTGCCACTGCACGGCATTACAGTGTAGCACAACTGAACATTTCTCCTGCTGGAATCAATAACACAAGTGGAAGGCATAAATTGCAATTAAAGGGGAATAACATCACATCACATAAAGTTTGGCCTAAAATGACACTATAAACATAAAAAAGTTTAAAGTTAAGATTCTTCTTCTGCCGTTTAATCATTTTCTGGATGGCAGAGTTCTTAAAGCCGTAGAATCAACAATTCTACATAATTTCTATATAATAACATTTACAGATGACATCAGCAATCATGCAGTTTTCTCAGTACTAGAAAAGTAACACTTTTTCTACCTGCATTTTATTTACTATTTTAATTGACTGATGCACAATAAATTCAGGAATGGATCAGATGACACTGACAGATAAAAAGATTTCTAAAGCTCATTTTGCCGAACTATAAATATTCTCACAGTGGATTTTGGTCTTTTACACCTAAATGGTACTTTAATTATTTTGCTGATCACACAGATATATATGCTTTAGGTTTTCTTTACCATGCAAGTTAACCAACATACACAATGTTCACCCTGAAAAAAAATCCGAAAAGGTTACCCTATTGAACAAAACATCTAATGGCAGCTGTGATTATTTTCTGGAGCTCTCCACCTAAATGTTACAATGTATATACATTTTTCTGAGGTACTTACTTTCCTTTGGAGGACACAGTAGAATATAAAGATGAACATTCCCTGAAAGGCGTTAAATATTGTGAAAAGATAAGCCATCACGATGGTTGACTCATTGATAAATAGAAGCCCAAATGACCAAGTTAATCCGAGAAGGCAAAGCAGTGAGAAAGCACCAAGTACCCAGGATCTGAAAGAAATAAACAAAAGGCGAGCAGATCAATACAAAAGTGCCTAGAAAAAATCAACAAGCCTGTATTCATAAAGCATTAAGTGTGCCAATAAAATACCACCAACAAAGAACAACACCAACAATAACAACAAAAAACAATCATACATAATTACTGGCACTCCAAAGCTTTACAAGTACGGGTCCTTCCAGATACTGTCACAATAGCAAACATTTGAACACTGCATGTTCAGAAATAATAAATATAAATAAGAAAGATATATTTCTGAATTTCTTTTCTTTACACGGCTGATGGGTGAGGAAAAACACGGCTGCATGCCACACTGGTATGTTAACACAGGCTATGCCATATGATGTTGGGCTGCATGTACAAGCAAAAACTGAAAAAAAGAAAGGTCCCGTATACTGTATGTAATTTTTCATTAGTATGCTTTATTCACTCCAGGCGGTTAATTACATCTTTTTGGTTGAGGACTTGCTGATATGTTTCACAGTCTGAAGGCTTAAGAAATAGTTAGAGGGGAGGAAAGGAAAAGAAACGTGTTGGAAAACCTAAGGTAGCCTTCAGACACCTCTGAAGATCAGATGCACAACAGTAAACAGGAATGACAACACTGAAGATGCCAACAGACAACAAGGAAAGTGGAATCCTGAAACTGACATTTAAAAGCAACGGAAAAGGAAGAAAATGGAGAAAGGGGAAAACTATAAGCTCAAAACAAACTTGACTTCTCTCTAGTGATCTTACTTGATAAATGGCTTATTATCTTCATAGCTAGAACGCATGATAAGCAGGAAAGAGAAACACAAATTAGACCAGGAGGATTACAAAGAGAAGGTTAGTAAGCACTTAAGTAATTAATGCAAAATTAGACAACTTTTGAAAATTAGAAAAAATAATAATGAAATTTTTCTGTGAGCAAAAAAAAAGAAGATCTTGTTCAATTACAAAAGATAACTGTACAACTGTCAAGTTTTTAAAATTACAAATACTATCTTGGAATTGAGTTACTTTTCATTGTGAAATTGTTGTTGAAATTAATTATTTTATTTTTATTTTAGCAGAAGTTAGGATAAAAAGATAGTCTTACAAAAGTTGTTAATGGAGGGTTCAAGCTTACCCTGGTAAATCCGTATTATAGTATCCATCACAAACACGGTAATTACTGGTGTGGATGAGAAAGTAGAAAGAGGGAAAGAAGAGAACAGGGAGAGATGCTACAGATTAGCCCTCTCTACATGCAACATGCAATGAAGCTGGTGTTACACTGTGCAAAATATTCTGGTCATACAATAGGTGTTTCCCATGTCATCATGAGGACCAGTGAAGACAAACATAAGAACAAGAGGACAATACCGATGTGCTTGAGTAAAGATAAAAAAAGATCAAGGTTCATTATTATTATAAGGATTCACTCTTAACCTTAAGATTGGTTGTAGGCTGTTCAGCATTCACAATAACTGTGGTTTGCTTCAGGAAAAAGTCTAGTTTCACTGTGTTCCATTCTATTGCATACACTGAGAGTTCAACCATTTTAATATTATGAAAAACCACACATATTCCACATGCAGTTTTGTGTAAGCTTATTTAATGAAGGCTCAGTTTTTGAACACACAATAAGAAGATACTAGTTAGAAAAAAAGTTTTTTCCAATGACAGAATAGTTTAGTTCCCTGTAAAACATAAAAAAATGTTCAAGTCTTTTTATCATGTACACTCCTGTGCATGAAAGAAACTCTAGAAATATTTTTGTTAGACATTAGGAATAAATCCAGTTTAGCGGAAATATGTGGTCCAAGTATTACTCATCAGGACAAAGTAGTAGTTGGGTTTCCACACTTTCTCTGTATATTTTGTTTGCCTCTGCTTCATAGTTTTAAGTTTCTGCCAAACCTCTTAAATTTGATTTTTTTTAAGAACACAGCTGCATTTTATTGAAGCACTATGAGATACAGGTATTCAGTGGACAACACTGGTGTGTGAGTAAAAAATAATTTTAGGAAAGCTGATATAATAAGAAAATATTCAAACATAAAAGATACATTTAATAAATAAAGACAATACCTTTATTTTAGTATCAAGACAGTTTTTTAAAGTAAAATATAGTATTAGGTTTTAAATGAAATTCTTTCACCAGCTCTTTTATAAATGCAAATAGTTTGGTAGAGCTCTATGTTTTATTATACATTTACATTTAAACTAAAATTGTAAAAACTGGAAATTTAAAAGCCATAAAACTAAGAAATGTTACTAATTTAATGTAGATAATGTATTTTACCAACAGAACAGCAACAAAGATTATTACCAAAACCTGGTGAAAGTGGCACACTTGGTTTTAGTAAGTATATTTGAATTGGAAAGCAACATGATAAGTCAGGCTGTTATGTAAAACAAACATTTGCCTTGTTTCATCAGAACAAAAATCAAGAAGAATAGAGGGATAAAAATCCCTAATGGATCAACTCGCTAAAGAGAGCAGGTTTACATAAACATCAGCGCAGTCTGTAAAATCAAAAAGTTAAAATCAGATTAAAATGAAAAAATGGGGAATAATAATGCTCTGATGTTGAAGACAACCTCAAAGGGAGGTATTACAGGGGTTAATTATCAAAGATGTGCAATCCATAACTAAATAATGACCACAAAAACCCATAAAAAGTAACTCCAGAACCTGGGACCTTAAGCTATAGCATTGGTTTGACTACAGTTGTAAATGGTTACATTTTCATTAATTTTCATTTGGAGTTGCTATGCGACAACATCATGTACTCCCCACAGACAAGAGTCTTCAATCAGTGAAGTAATCAGGACATCACAAAGTCCTCACTTACTTAATGTTTTCCAACCTGCTGGAGTCCGGTTTCAATGAAGTCGAGTGTTTCACCATTTTGTACATTGTAATAACCAGGAAGATAAGATTCAGCTGTCAAAACAGAATAATGACAAAATAAGCATACTTAAATGTATGTCAGATGAAAAGAAGAAAGCCTTTAATTTTTTTCTGTAACGATTAAAAATCCTGTCTTTAAGCTCCTCTCTCTCAGATCCTCACACCAGAAGTGTATAACATTTATTCTGCTTTGTGAGGCAGGCAGACTGGCGCCAAATTTAGTGTCATCCTATATCAATAAGAGCATGAAAATGCATTAAATCTAATGCAGACAATGGCTACACAGGGTGAGTAATCGGAAAAAAAACATGAAATTTGAGATCTTGAAATAGTCCACAATAAATAAAAGTCTGGAACTAGGAAAAACAATAACATTTTCCAAACTATAAAAGGCATCCAGGAATACAACACATTTCTTTACATGAACTGACAGTCTCTCTTCCTTTGGGAAACAAAAGGGATTTGCATCAATTTGGCTTCCTCGTTTTAATACCACATTAAATCTTCAAAAAGCAAGCCATGGATATCGAGTTCAGACAAGGTTACAGCTTTCTGCATTTCAGGGCATTTATTCTGCCCTTAAAATCAATACAATGATTTGAAGATATAAAAGCTGGATAGATAAACAGGTGACTACTGGGCACTGCTCACCAGAATTTTCTCTGCAACTTATTTATTATGAAACCCAACCATTTTCTGTATAAAAAAACCTTACAAATATACAAGCTGCTGTGAATAAAACAAAGAATGAGAGAGAGGTAGTAAGGGAGAGAAAGAAAAAAAAGACTGAGCATAAAATAAAAGGGGTCAGCCAAGGCAGACGGGAGTCACTATAAATGCTTTTATATGTTGCTGATTTTAAGTGACTATGACACCAGAGTGTAAAAAATTCCATGACCAGTTTACTTTGTAGTATGATATAATAGAATGCAATGGATTTCTGGGGAACACTTAGAAATATCTAGTGAGCCAACATTCTATGCAAAATTAAATGATAAAAAATATTCAAATTGTTTTCATGAAGAAAAAAAAATCTCTATGCAGTATTCCTGTAAAAAAGTACATTGATATACCCTTATTTATTTTCGTCTAAACACTGAAGCAAGACAACCTCATTCACTCCTAGGACAAAGAGATGTTGTCTAATCTCCCTGTTGATGCCTTCTGTTTTTTTCCATTGAAATGTTTAAGACAAAAGCAGCTAAGGCTAAAAAAAAGATTATGGAATTAGATTAATTCAATTCTTTGTTGGTTTGGAGTGGCTAGACTTTTTCTTATCATTCTATCGAACACCCCTATCCTTTTTGAACTGCCGTCTAAACAGTGGGTTAATCGATATCATCGTTTACCGTAATCAACAAGCATTGCTGAACAATGAGCTCACTGGAAGCCAGAAAAAAAAAGAGGCCAGAGCTTTTAGATCACAGATTAGAGCAATGTCGAGTTGTGCTCTCTACCCATCAGCTGAGTCGTTTTTATCACGTCTGCATGAGTTTAGTGGCTTGAAATGCATTTCACACAGCCCGCAGTGCTGACATGGATACGATGAGACAGAAGAACTGAAACACTACTCTAAAGTAACCTAGCTGAACTGCACATGTTCCGTCCCCTTTCTTTGTCCTCCCTGGAGCTTTTGTTACCTTGCAAAGGCAGCTCTAAAGCTCCACTTGCTTTTCCAAATCTTTGCTGTTAGCCATGCAGAAGCCCATCATTCCTCCCCGGGACTGCAGAAGGCTTTTGAGTGAGTGTGCAAGCTGAACTCCGAATGAACTGAATTAAATATTAAAGGTGCAGATGGAGCTGTCCAGATGATAAGAACAGCTCCCGACGTGTCATGATCCAAGCTTTCGTTAAAGCATTTCAGGCATAATAATGGTTCCCCACCACTCATTACTTACATGTTCTTTTTCATAGAGATAATAACCCTTGTGCCCAGAGGCATGGCAGTCTCTGCCTTTGTGGAAGCTGAACCTACTCAGCCTCCTTCAAGGTTTGCCTCAGTTTGGTTTAAAAAAAAAACAGGAAAAAAAATACTTTTGTGTGTACTTTTCATGAAGCATGAAGACCACCTTGGGCTTTAACCAAATGTTACACAGCTGGGGTGCCTCTTAGTATTTTAGGAACTGGATTCATGGCTGCAGCAAATGAAGGCAAGATACAGCAACATGGGCAGTGTTAATGAGCGTAAGAACTGGGGTTACAGGTTTTAAGAAGTCTTCCCTCCTATTCCCTAAAGAAATGCTACCTTATGCTTTATACTTCAGTGGCAGCAGTTCTGAACAGAGTGTCCAATCTAGATGAATCTCCTTATGTAGTTCTTTTCATCTCTAGCAATGTATAATCAGCAAAATAACTCATATGTATTGTATTACATGTTTTGTGTTGTACTTGTCTTGAATTTGGATCATTATTATCACCAAGACTGCAAGCTTATTGTTTAATTTCTTGTTTTTCTTCTGATTGTACCTTAAACCATGTAAGTATCAGATAAGGCAGCTTCAAGGTTTTACAAACAAGCACATATACAGATGCAAAGGAATGTAAGATAATTCACAAAATGAATGGCTAGCTTTAATATACTGAACGTGCCGTAAAAACAGAGAGCTAGTTCTAGGTGCCAGCAGGGTGCACAAAGCCAGTTTTCAGTTATTGTATAGATTTGCGGTGAGTGTAATAGTCTTTACTGAACTTACGCCATGTTATGTCATAAACTTTCATTGCCCAAGCAAGTTTAAATTACATGATAGGACCCAGCCAGGAGGACACCTAACTAATGTTCACACCATTCAAAAAGGTTCAGAGAGGTCACTGCATTTGTGGTAACAACCATAAAAGAGATAATGAACACACCGCTGAGCAAATATTGCTCTTCACTCCTTCCACTTTGTACAAGATTGTTTCGAACAGTTATGCTTCGGTTTGTGTGAAAGATTAGAGGGCAAAGCAATAGACGATAGACAAATTACTCCCAGGACCTGTCCTATGATTGCTACCTGCCATTTCATTTTTTGAAGTAGGGAGTAGAACTCCCCAAGGTCCTTTAGCTCTAAGCCTAACTGATTTAGCCGAAGATAATAATGTCGTGACCAGTAAATAATAGTGCACTTGGACAGAACATAGTCAATATGATATATGCTTCACCCATGTACACCTTCATCAAATGGAAAAATTCAGCTGACACTCCCCATACAAGTCCTACAGCTTCTGATCAAACAATACAAAATAATCGCAACACAAGACAAGTTCCAAACCTAATGAATACCAGTGAAAGACCAATTTCACATAACTCACAACTGTACTTTCTGAATTCTCTTTTTTGCTCTTACAAAGTTTTGGATAATGAATAGACAAAAAGCTTAATGACAAAAATATACAATTACCAGAAAACAATCAACTCTTTCCCAACAAATATGCTGGTGACAAAAACAAACTGGTTTTGCTGAAGCCAAATTACACAAAATTGAAGTCAGGGATAACACACATACCAAAAGATGGGTACAGAAGCCATGAAAAATTAAACAAGTATTATTTTAAACTACAGACAAATCCTACATAATTCAAAGATGTTTACAATGCAGATAAAAAAGGAAAAAGATCAGAGAAGAAAATAATCTTTTCTTTCTGTTCTTTTCCTTTTAATCTATAAAGCCATTGTCTAAAGCTGTTAGCCATGCTATTTTGGAGAATTTCCTCACATAATGGCATTGAAAATACTTCCTAAGATTCATGGGATAAAAAGGGTAGAGCACTAACAATATGTAATTTTTAAACACATAGGGAAATAGAAAGGGAAGCATCACTCAACACTTATAGTTGAAATGCTTGTAGCTCCTGCATCTGTCCTTGTGCACAGAAACCTCCTTTCCTACAAATCTGAGACACTGTATGCCGTCATCTGTAATAATGAGAACATTACTTTACTTCCTTGTAATTGTTCACGTACTGAATAAGAGGAAAAAGAATCTTACCATTATGATAAATGTAACCGGTCCTATAAAGCTCCAAATGAAATGGTTGTCCACCCTCAGCCAACAACTGCAAAACAAAATTGGGATACATTTAAATACAAATCTGCCGCAATTAGCCCAGATAAAGCACTAACTCCCTATTCTACCGAAAGCAATGTGGAAATGTTACTTGTGGCTTTAAATGAATTCACTGTACTTTTTTGCTTACAAATGCATTAAAAAATCCAAGTGTTACCCAAGTTTAAAAAAATCAAGCAACTGCTTTCACAAATCAAGCCATTTTGCATGTTTGATCAAGCATGTGTCTTCTATCGGAAGGACACAGCCCAGTTTAATGCAGAGAGATTTAACCAACATTATCATCAATCGGAGTAAAAGCTTTTACAGAATACCACGCTCCTTTCTTTGAAAGCACATTTACAAATAGAAGGTTGCCAGAGGGTCTTTGAACAAAAGGCATTAATGAAGCATTAGCTCCAACCACAGTGTTAAGCCTGTCAGGTATCAGGATGACATTTTTAAAAATCTAATATCCATTTGAGGGATACAATATTATTTACTTTCACTTTTTTTCTGATCCAGTTAATGTGGTTCATGGTAGTTGTTGGTAGAATTTTAAGAATACATTACCACATAAATGCATCTCACACATCTTAATTTTACGAAGTCTGATATTCTCTTTGGTTCAAATACAAAGGCAATTACTAGGAGAAGACTTGGTCTCAGGGATTTTACTTACGCCTTGTCTGTCCCATAACTCTTATAATCAATAGCCGCAGAGACGCCCACCACTATAGCTGGAACAAGGTAGCCAGAAAGGTAAAAGTACTTTTTCCGTGAATATTCACTTTCAAACACTTCAACCAACATAAGATAAAGCTGAACTCCTTCTAGGCACATCCAGGCAAAGGCAGCAAGGAAGAAAAAATGCAAAATCCCAGCAATTATTGAGCAACCAATCTGAAAAAAGGGGAAAAAAAGATAACACTAATCAAATACTTGACATCGATGTATCAGAGTCAAGAGAATGTTATTCCTTACAGTTCTGTTTCAGCAATACAGAGCTATATAGACATGAAATAACAAAGCTGTTGATTTTACCTGTCCATGATTCTGAACTATTAATAAGTGCCCCAAGCAAGCAATGCTCAGCTCTTTTCTTTTTTTGAATAAATATTAAACTCAATACCCTAATTTCTTACAAGTTATGCACATCTAAAATTGTGCATTTCATTTGAGCTTACTAGTGAAATACAGAGTAGGTGGATTATACTCTAATAAAGGATTGATAAAATGCTTGAACACATGAATTTCTACATATACCTTACAAAATATACAGTATATAAGCATACTGTAGGGCTTTTAAATGTCACCTTACTGGAAAGGAAATCACACAGAAATGTGTGGACTGTAGTTTTTCAGTAAGTAAATCTCCACAGTAATATACAAACACTGCATTTTCTATTAGTGCTCTTAGGTGTCTCAACAGTTTCTGATATAACCATTTCTCAATATGAAGAAAATCATCATGATCTAATACTCTGAACTTTATCCTGGCCTAAAACCTTGCGATCTACAGCCTTGACAAAGGTCTAGATTATTGTAAGGGAAAACTAGACAGTACTGGGGTTAGAGACTATTTGCTTCTACCTTGCTCTTTGAGTCAATAGTTCACTGCTAACTAAAGCATGGAAAAGACTTCTTTCTTGGTATATCTTCCATGGGTATATAAAGGAAGCCAAACTCCATAAAGTTTGAGGAACGCTAGTGAGTAGTAACCATGTATTTATTCACTTAAAAAAATTACAAACAATTAGATACGGGGGAGGGTATTATTTGATTAACTAGACAAAAAGGAGGTAATTTAGTTTTTGCTTGAGGTGACTAAAAAAATGTGCCTCACTGTCTTTTAATCTTTCTTAATGTTTTCACCTCAACACCGCTGTGTCAGTGTTTTTACTTCAAGAGGTGGCTAGATTTCATGTAAAGCCCTTTCTTATTCAAGTGGTAGGAAAAACAGATCACAGCAATCATTATCAAGATCTTCTGGGCTCACCTTGGGTTCTGTCATATCAATGCCGATTAAGAAAATAAGCTCAGCAATGAAGAGATTGATGCACAGATTCTTGTGGATGGTATTGCGATCACTCTGTAAGCCTCGAAAGAAGCAGAATGTGAAGATGCTGATGGCCAAGCAAACCAGGGAAACGACAATCCCCACCCTGGTGATGACAGTTAAAAGTAACTCGTGCACTCCGTCTTTGTCCTGGAAATGAAGAATGGAGCAAATTAATATGTCTGTTTATCAATACAAATGGGGAAACAGGAATGCTACCATATATCATTGCAGCAGGTAGTGGCTGGAAAATTACTGTTTTATTTTGTAGGTGACACGCGGAAATAAATGCTCAATGGTCATCAATCACTGGCTAAACCCATCAGTAGAGTGTGATTAATGCCTGCAAGGACGGCCAACCTTTATATATAGTGCCTGAATTTATAAGCCAGACTGTGGATAAGGTTTGAGCAATATTAATCTTTTTTTTCTGTACCCATATCAAACTTGAAGAATACATTGGGAAATCATGGGATGACTCTAGACAATTGCACTTTGAGGTTTAATAAAACAAATATAGTTTTCTGTATCTTTTCTCAAAGGGGTGCGAGCCAGAGAGTCACATAGAAATCACTTTCTCAAACACTCTCAGTGCTGCTGGCCGGGTTAATAAAACAACAAAAGAGACATGACAAATGTCCTCACCCATGTCTATAAATCTAAAAGGCCCCCACCCCCCAAAAAGAGGAAAAACACAGTAAAGTATTTACTCACCACAACTTCCCTGTGTGCCATGAGAATTGCAAAATTGGTAAGGTGGCTACAAGAACAGGTTGTATGTGTCTTGTTGGCTTCCAGAAGCTTACAACCTTGTGTGGACCAATGTCCCATCATGCTCCTCTCTGAGTAGTTCCAAAATGAGCAGTTTGAATTGAAGTACTTTTCAGTCTAAAACAACAAATGACCAATTAAAAATCTCAGCTAAAACATAGCAATTGTAAACTTCAGTAAATCACAGAAAGAAAAAAAACACAATCAAGAATACACATTAAGAAACAGGAATCTGGGTTTTTAGTATTCTGTATTTCAGATTTTATTCTTTTGTTATGTTTGTTTTTTATTTTGACTTTGCATCAGAGCTATTACCCTGTAGTGGGAAAAATATATATATATTTCTCTACTTCATCATTAACATGCCTGGCATACCACTCCTGGCACTGTATCATAGACTGCCTCAGTTTCTTTAAGCACTATATAACAGCAGCTCTTTGTATGTGTAGTATTCCTTTTAGACAATTCAAAATCAACCCAGACCCTGTGGGATTCCTCCTGACAACTTTAAAGAAGGAAGATAATTGGTCCACAAGCAATTTTATCCTGCATTGTATGGCTAATCTAGAAGCTAATTTTCCACTATAAAAGAGAATGGCATCATTTACATCCTAATGTTGATTAAAGAATTAGTTTTCATTAAGAATTCACTTAAGTTCTAATAACCACCGATGCAGACTTATTTAATTTTATGTTCATTGACTTAAATAAACTCTTCTGTGACCTAGTCAGGCATTTACAATTCAAATGGAGGGATTCTGTCTGCCTTGCTGTTCTTTCCCACTGATTTTATGACCTCTCCATTAATTTATTAGGAGGACTCACATCGATGTGTTCCAGGGTAAAAATCACAGGATCCGTGATAAATACACGGCTCGACTCCTTGTTGATGGAGGCAGCAATGATGTGCGAGTTAACTGCAACCGAATGGTTCCGACCGTTTTCTTCATTGCTATATTTAATTGTCGCATTTTCTGTACTGAGAAATTGTCCCAGGCGTTTGTAAAGGATGAACACTAACTTGGCAACACCTGAAAAAATGGAAAAGGAACAATAGATATATTTGTCATGTCTCTTAGATATATATACCTCTTAAACATCCCAAAACTTGCAAAAAAATCATGACCGCTATAAACATTAAAGTTATTTGTTTCAACTTTGTTTTAAAATATAAACAAAAGGGCTGAATTAAAGCTATCGAGAATGTGAAAAAAGGAAACCTTAAGTAAGGAATTCATTTTTAAATAGTATCTGTCATAACTTCTGTTTGAAGTTCCAGCCATTTGTGACAATGCTTTATAACTAATCACTGTGCATTGTCAGTTTTGACAAGCTGCTATGTGAGTCTTGTCTGACAGTGTCTATTCTCATTGGTCTCCAACTCTTCATGTAGACATTGGCAAACAAAAGTCAAAACCACACACTGAAAGTAAAACCACACATGGTAAACATTTGCCTTCCTTGTCTACAAATGGAAGGATTGCTGGCTGTCTGTGACTTACCATTTCGACTGTTTAGTTTGACAGTGTTGGAAGACAGCTGGATTGAAACTCCTCCCTTACTGGTTTGAGGAAATTTGAAATCCTGCACCTGTCCATCTGTGCTAAGTACATACACATCCAGAACTGGATTGGGCAATGCCAAATCAGAGGAAAGAGAGAAGAAATAAGCCAGACATAATTTATGGTATAATATAAAGTACATCAAATAAAAATGACAATCGAATCTGCAGAAAATATTTTGTCTTAATGCATGCCATTAAATGTTTTTTTATGTAAAACTATACAAAATAGTGTGCAAGGCCAGTGCTTCATTGAGGAGCAGAAAACTAAAAACAAATTATTTTGAAACGTTGTGGCTGCTATCAGGTATTGTGCCATTAAAACATTAAAATGGTTAACTGCTCTTTTGATTATTAAATAATATAACAATGTTATGTTATTTTAAAGTCTTTGAAAGGACTACAATAGTTATAGTTTAAGATGACACCTGATATATTATATTTCACAGTGCATCTTTTTATGGACTACCTGAACGTTTCTTAGAAAAATCATGCTTAAACAGGTAGTAGTGAATGCACAGAGTAATATGGAAGCCAAATTAAATATTCTAAAATATCAATTAAATTAAGCTAAACAATTAAGAACTCAAAAATAAAAAAGAAAGATCTTTTGAATTGACTAAATTCTAAAAAATAATATAACATTTTAGAAAGATACTCTTCGATAATAGCAGCATAAAGTGAATCTTTCAATTAATATATCAGAAAATTAATCTATTGTTAGCTGTTTATATAAGAAGTTTTTTTATTTCTTCTTTTGCAGGATTTAATAAAAGCTATTTAAAATGCATTTCAACTTGTAAGGTGGGACACATGGCACAATATAAACATAATATCCTAGTGCCTTTCCATTTTCTGTTTCCTTTGCACTGAGGATCATTGGCATTTAACAGAATATCTCAAGTCCTTTAAGTGATTATAAATGCAAGGTTGAATCCTCTTTGATCTGTGAAATTACCTAGGTCAGAAGTGCCCCTTTACCAAACACATCCCCTCCATCTGCATTATATAGTGAAATATATCACTTTTGACAGAGACAGTCAACCAATAGCTTCACCAATTTTCTTTGCATTCTTAGCAATTACACACCCTCCTCTCCTGCCTCGCTTTACGATGTGATGAAATATAACTTGATACATCTATCTGAAATGCTTGCTCTTACAAGGAAACTAAACAATAAAAAAAAATCAGTTATCAGCTTAATAACAATGTTGATAAAATTAATTTTGTTACTACAATACCTAATGCCGCAACTAACAATGATGGTAATAATTTCCGAGAAACCAATGACAAAGTGTAGACAACACTTGAATTATAGCTTACTGGAAGTGCTTTTTATTTGTTTATTGGGAATGAAATCACTTACTTATATTCTCAGCGGGTACTTTCACTATAGCCGGTTCCATTAGATTGTCAGCAAGGACAAAAGCTCCTTCTTCCAGGGTATCAAGTAACATTGTTGCAGCATGTGTTTGCTCTGTGGAGTTCATATCTTCCCAGGATTTCAGGGCTTCGGGTCTCAGCAGGTTGTCAACCGTATCTACAATTGCCTACACCCACCAAAACAAGAGACGTTGTCAGCTTTATTGCTTATTCAGGGAAACCTTTTAGTACTATTTAGTGTTTGGTGCAGGTCAAGCCAAAAACAAAGTGTATTTATAAACAAAAATCTGCCGAATCACAAAAAAATGACAGAAAGCATTTTTTCCCGAAAAACTTTAGAGCTTAATTTTTTCAATGAGCACATAAAAATACTGGTATTTATGACTGCAGTCAGAGCAAAATATAGCCAATGAGACTCCCCCACCACAACCCCAGTAGAAATGCTGCATTAAGTTTGTGGGTGGGTATTTGTGCATTCAAGCAGAAAATTAAAAATGTAAAAACAAGGAAAAGGGAAGAACAGAAAAAGATTTGTTTCCCACAGATTTTTTTGTACCAGGAACACTAGTCTATTTTATTCAAACTTTTTTTTTAATTATTTTGCCAAGTTTCTACATTTATTTTCCAAGAACCTCTATTCATGAAATACTGACAATATTTAATTTAATCAAAAACGGTCTGGATGTCCAAATCCAAAAAGGAGGAGTTATTTCTACATATGATTTCAGGTAGATCCTTTTTACAATTACAGATTTTTAGAGTTGTAGCAGACTTAAGACCTCTGCACCCACAATAAATGAAAAAAAAAATTAATGCAGTAATACCTGCAAAGCTGACAGTATTTAGCTACCTTTTATTAATATGTAAATTTTCAATCAGGCCTGTTAGCCTTCTTAGTGGAGATTCATTCAGGCAGTAAATAAAGTAAATACAGAAATTCAATGAGACATCATTAAAATCTCTTTAGAAAATAATCAAATCAATCAGACTAATCAGTTAATCAATGGAAGTCAAGCTCTTAAACTAATGCAAAGATAATGTAGCCTTGAATTAAATATGTCAAATAATGCTGATTTGCCGCTTTTGCCTGAATGTCCTCTTACTAGCACTAATATGTCATTAATGGTATGTATATAATATCTTCCCGATCAATTTCAAAAGGTACTAAATCGTCAATTAAACACAACACTCAAATACAAATGTGTGTTGAAAACACATTTGTGGGTGCTGGAAAGATCAGGACACTCCAGCAAAGGCTACCGTCTGAGTAAGATTAATTAGCCTAATCCATCTTAATATCCTCTTTCTGTCTGCATTTTGAGACGCCTTGACCTTTGTGGCAGGTGGAAGACACCTCCATGTGACATAAAAGGCTTTTCTCGCTCTAATGGGAGATGGAATAGTCAAAACGCACCCACTGAAGGGACTACAACCATTAACTGAAGAGGGGCATAAATTTCTTTACCCAGGCCAGCCTTATTAGTCACAAGGAACCATAGCGTTATTTCTAATTTGCAGTACAAATGAAAATCCATGTCTCTCAAGGACCAAACTTACTGAATTTGCATTGCCGAGGTCATTACACAGTTGAAAATGTTGTAGGTGCCTGTGCCTTTGATGAAAAACAATCCATTTTAGGTGTTGCCATTAAGGTCTCTTTACTATATATATTTTAAAGTGAATGGGTTTCAAGCACAACCCTTTTGGGAGAGGTTAGGGAAGGCAATACTGAAGAGTGTGGAAAATGTCTGATCAAACGGATGTCTCTCTCCCTCCCCCTCTTGACAATTGTCACGGTTCACTCTGTCCCCAACTTCCATGGAACACCACCATAGAAGAAAATTTGAGTTCCAAGGACAAAGCATAATGGAATGCTCCATATTAAATACACATCACAATACTGACAAAGACGGGTAGAAGGTTGGAAAACATGTCCCAACACTCAGAGTGTAGATTTATTCAAGTGAAAAGAAATTATAACCAATATGTCAGTAAAACACTTAGAAACCTCAGAGGCTGGAAGTTGTCATAAAAGTTATCATCTCGAAAATTATTTCCCTTGCACTTCTGGCTGTCAGGGTTGAGGTACAATTATGACTGTGGGAAGGCAATTACTAATACAATGTATGAATCACACAGAAAGGAAAGAGGCTACCCTTTTGAAAGTCTGCCTTTGTCAATTTACCACTGGTCTCCTGTACTGTTACCACATGATTTTACCACAGTTATAACATAAACCTGGTAAATTTTCCAAGGTAAACTTCCATAAGAGTCCATAGCAATACAAAAGGTTCATGCTGCAGAGGAAGGTGTGGTGGGAAAAAGCACAGTGACGGCATATCTGAGATACCTTCATGTATGCTCTGCAAGTCCTTTCTCGTTTTTGAAGCTTTTTCATACAAAGAAAAAAAGAACACAGAAACACACAATTAGCAAAAACAGAGGCTTGTGCACAACTTTCCAGAGCTTTAATGATGTATTCAGGCTGTTCACAAGTAACAGCCTTTATGCCTTTTCTTGTTTTCCCCATTTCTTAGTCACTGCCTACAGATTAAAGCTAAGCTTCACTTTAAAACTATGATTTTAACACTTAACCGAACACTGGAGAAAGGTAAGGATTCATTTCAGTAAATGTGGTAATAAGAAAACAGGACAACCTATTAAATAAAACTGTGAGTTTGAGATAGTACTTGACTCACAAGATGGACACTACTCAAGAATGCAGGATTTTCTAACTTGAAAAGTAATATCAAAGAGGACTTGAAATCTTTTAAGATCAAACAAAGAAAGACAGCAAAGAAGAAACTTAATAAAACAGAATTTCTCACAAGGAATGCGGGGCAAAAAAGCGATTCAAAGCCTTGAACAAATACCTTGTTAAAACTCCGGCCTGCGGAGTCCTTTTCGCTGGGCTTCAACTCCTGAAGCTGAGCGTCTAAGATGTCAACGAGCTGCTCCATCAATCTCACTGATGAACTTACATCGCCAGCAAAGATGGGCCCTTTGGTATGCTTGGCCAGCTCATTTGCAAGGTTAGCAGCATTTTCTCCGCTTCTGATCTGAAGTGATATAAATTATCATCTCAGCATGGTTCAAAAAATATTATTTTAGGCTACAAGGCTCTCCTCTCTCATTACAACATACCCATGCTGTGATGAAATATTCCTTTACACAGCTAGGCATGGAAAATTTGTAACTAATTGAAGCTGATATTATTATGCCTATTCCAATGATGAAAGATAGTTAAGCTTCTTTGATAAAAGTAAGTTAACACATTTATTCCAAAGGTGAGGCAATGTATAAGAATCTTCCATTGTGCCGTTATTAATGCACATTTTATTCTAAATGGCCTGCACCAAAGACTTAAACGTTTCATGTGCTGTGCCAAAGAAACATTATCGTATCAAACAACAGGATAATGTACTTTGCAGCTTGGTCTTATGTTCACTGTTTTACTCTATGTGAGATAACATAAAAAAGACAAAAGGCACATAAGTTATTAATCCATTGGCTTGACACAGACGAATGCTATAACTAGCACTGAAGTCTTTATTTTTTCTTGAAAACACAAATAAAACAATAGGAATTTATGGGGGTTAGTTTTTTTTAAAAATTAATCATACCTTTTGTGCAACCTGATTTACCCAATGGGACGTGCAGTTGCTGAGATCAGGCCCTTTTGGGTTCCATGCCCCAGTGGAAAGGACACAAAGATATGAAGCCGTGCCTGCATATAACAAAAGGTATTTAATAAATTAGGTTTGTCTATTAAAGAAGACAAACTGGGCAGATCAGTACAGCACTTTGCCAGTTTGTTTTGAAAACTGGAGACTGAAGATCACAGAAAAAATCATATATAGAGACTACATTTGAAAACATGTAATAACTATAAGACATACATTATTACCAATGCTGTATATAGCAGGTCAAAATGCTTATTTATCTCAGACGCACATAATATACTACAGCTGGGCTGAACAACATATATAACAAGAAAAAAAAAGTAACAGAAATAACCTATGTACTTTAACAGCTGGTTATTGATCAGGGAACAATGGAAAGTAAATCTACAGCCTACCTCTTGTCCCCTTGGGGCAAGGCCTTTCAACTAACATGCCTCTTTGTGTCTGGGGCCAAGATATGCCCCTTTTCTCAACACTGTCGCAGAACCGTTCTGGGAAAGGGAAGAGGTCGGGAGAGATGGGGGCTGTGGTGTCAGGAACTTCTGGTGGAAGTTTGGGGCCCACCGTAGATGTTGGGGTCAACACATTTTTCTTTGAGGTGGTAGTCGTGGTGGTAGTAGTTGTTTTAGGAATCTCTTCTGTTGTGGATGTTTCTGAAATTGTCGGCACTGAAACAGAATAGAAACAGGTAAAATTAACTCACTTTTCAGACAATACCACACCTTCATTTAAGCAGCACAAGATCCCTTCACTTCTACATATATTACATTGAATCCTGCTATTTCACAAATACCAAAATGGATAAAGCTAGTAATTACTGGCATATACGGAAAATGGTCAGTATGAAATGTTGTTTATTTCTAAACTTCTAAATCTTATTCCAGGCACTCAGTCTACACCTTACAAGAAAATAATTACTTTAACATCCTCCCTCCTGGCTGTGATTCTTGCTTGAGAGATTTTGAGCATGCCTGATTAGATTTCAACAGAAAAGGACACAGCCTTCATGTGTCGTTTTATTGTTTGAGCATTGCAGATTTGTCCCCCCTTTTCATCCTTTTTTTTGATAAAGTAGGTAAGAAGCAACTAATGCACCACCAGAGGCTAGAACACAACTTATCAGTAAAGCTGACAGAGACAGCCCTCACTCGCATATAATAGTTTCCTTAGACGCCAAATAAAATCTGAATAATATGAGACAGAATTGGATGCAGTGAATATTATTTTATTCTTTGCAACACTGTTCCAGTGTTGTTTAATTTCCTTCTGTATTTAAAATTTTCTATGAAAGATACATACACAAAAACTTAATGTACTTAAATGTAGTAACCCAAAAGATCTGGGAAATTGCATATTTTTAAATTTTAAGCAGCTAGCAAAATATTATAAATCTCTTCCTACTTCTGGATTCTCTTTTTAGCCCTGTTTAAAGCCAGAAAGCACTGAAAGAAGTGTCCCCTGGATTTTTTTAATGAGTTATAATATACTTCTCAAATTTAAAATGTTTGGAAGTTAACCAAACTACAGGATTGCAGCTAACAATGTCCCTACCCAATAACCTTCAGGAAATCCAATATATTCTGACCCGAGTGATATAGTATATTGCTATTAAAACCTACTTTTGTCTATTTTCTATTTCTATTTTCACCCTTTGCCTGACAAATATAAATGGGATGTTTAATATCGTGCTATTTTTTGAATGGAAGAGGTCTGAAAGTAGAAATAAACCATCCACTGATACGTGGATATATATTTCCACTAGGGGAAGAATAATATTGTCCTAAAACAGTCACAGAAAATATCTGCACTGTGATGTTTAAGAAATGCTGTAATGACCAGTCCTAGTTTTTTTCACCTTCAGTAATTTCTGGTAAAATTACAAAAAGGTATGCATAAGAACTCTATCTGTTGGATGACAACAAGAAATGGAATGATATTAAAAAACAAGTTAGAGTGGTTCAGAATATAATAGTGGGAACAAAGTGTACAAGGCCCATTGCTGTCAGCAGATAAAGTTGCTAGACGACAGAAATGGTTTGTGCCTGGCAGCTCTCCCATAATACCCTGTGGTGCCGATATAACATCTCAGCACTATGAGGATAAGAAGGAATCATCTCCAATGATGGTTGTTGTCTGCCATGAATTAGTCTTAAATGACCAGTGAAGACATCTCAATGTCCTCTCTGTGGGGCCTGCCTTGGCTCCCACTTCACTTTTCTGGGTGATTTGAATGAAGAAGGGAAGCTTTTCAGATGGATTGAAGTTTGATGTTCACATTAGCCAGCTTACTTCCATTTTTCCATCTTTGCGAACAGGCTTAATTATATTATTCTAAATGTGCTTGGAGACTGCAGTTTGAAACTATTCAGTGTTACATTCAGCATGGTCACTTACACAGCAGCTTAAGAAGTAGATCACCTGGGAAATATGTATTTGCTTTTGACATCTCTATAAATATTTACATACATTTACAATGCTCAGACAGACAGTCTGGCACAGGAGACAAAAGTGTACAGTATTGAATTGCTTAAGGTCGTGTAATTGAATTTGTTTCTTGAGTAAGGGAAAGACCTTGTTAGGCAAGAATAGCAGAGAGCCACAGACTGATAATTAGGTCTTTGACCCACGAGACAATCATTTCATTATCCAATTTCTTACTGTCATGAATGCTATTAAAACTTTTGTGTGTGTGTGTAAGTAGAGTAAATGATTGTCCTCTTGAATTTTTTACATTGTTCTTTAGTTTTATGTGGTAAATATTATTTTTCTTTTTAACTCAGTGCTATTTTACATATTTGTATATCTTCTTTATGCTTTTGTTTTAATTTGCTGAAGCAAATTGAAACTATTGTCTCCTTTTCACTTCTCCTTCAGTACTTCTGTAGCCTGGACAGCAGTCAAAGTTCACGAAGAATACATGCGATAATGAGAAATAATAAATACACCAATGTTCTTCACAGGTTCCCATAAAACATCATTGAGTGGGTCAACTTGCCTAAAGGACAGGGGGAGTCCTATAGATAGATATTGTTAGTTGGGGTGTGGACTATTTCACCAGTTACCACACAACAGTGGCCTGTAAATTCTCAGTTACATGTGGGATTGCAGTGCTGCAAGTGTGAACAGTATCATTCTTCCAATCAACTGTGACTCGGTAGAGTGAAAAACAAAATTCAGAACATTTCAGAAAGCATTAAGGAAAGAATGCAATATCAACATGTGCTTACCATGTTGCTGATAATTCATTAATTAAGGACATTTTCTGGCAGGTTACAATAACATTGCTATATTAAATATTAAATGAATGCAGGAAAGGACACAGGCGCAAGAATACAGCATTTCAAATATTTAACATTTCTTATTAATATTAATAACTATTGACTGTTAATATATCACTATTAATGTGTAATTGGGTTTCTAGATGTTTTAAGATTTAAACTATATAGTGAGACAATATTGATCTGAACATATTCTGAGTGTACAAGGTAGTTTATTTTAAAGTAGCACTAAATTAATCTAGAATAAAGACAAACCATTTAAAATGTTTAATTCTTGGATGTTATTGTATTATTTTTGTAAATATTTCTAACAGACCGTTTAAGTTTATTTCGGCTCCTTTACTGGAATTTGAAAAGGAGATGTACAATGGCTCTTTTAAATGCTTGTTAAATCTATTTGAAACTGTATTTTTCTGACAGATCTAAATAATTTGTCAAAGACTAGGACTTTTTCATTAATTGAATTCCCATATAACTTTGCCTTAGTTAATTATGTTTAATGGTCCTTTTCTTTGAAATTTAAAAGAAGTATTGTTAGGAGTTTTCTCGGTTAAGAAACATTACTTTCTTCATTAGACATTTTTCTATGGATTTTGTGTTTTCCATTCTTTTTCTATCATTTCTTGAAATGAAATTAGCAAGTGAAATAAGCAACTGTCTCAGTCCAGGGTGGGATCTTGATTCTATAAAATGCCATATAAAAACAGAAAAATTATAACTTTAAAATGAACACAGCCTTTATGATCTTAAATCACTAAATCATTATTCTCCTAATATTAGAGTAGAGGACTTTTATACATGCAGTATGCCAGTACCATCTTGGTTCATTGAACACACAGTGTAAATTTCAAAGTAGTATGTCTACTTAAAGTCCTTGCTTTAAAAGTACTTACACATATTTGGATACATTGAAAAAATAAAAAGCCAGGTTACTTTATTAAAAATAAAATGGACGAAAATAAATTCACTGTGAGGTGAAGCTAAAAATCACAAGTGCCTAAAAGAAAACTACTGATGTAAACACATTTCAGGATCTAAGAAACTATTGCTTACAGCAAACAAATTCTGATGTTATATAGTGTGCGATATGATTTTGGGGGGGATTTTCCTAAAACAAATGCTGATAAAAAACTAGGTGAAATCTAGGTGAAATCAACCAAGATAAATGTAGTGAAAATATCAGAGAAAATAGTTTAGATGTAGTTATCTATTAATACCCTAAATCATTTTATTTGTGCTTTATAATCCCAACAACTGGTATAATCTCATTACTGTGAGACAACAGTCTCATCTATAAGCCAATGAAAACTATCAGGAATTAAAGTTAAAGGCATTAAAACAGCAATTCTTACATCCCAGCTGCTGCTATCAGATTGGACAGCTATTGCACGACAGGAAAACCATGCACTTGTCTTGTATTAAAAGGCTGTTTTTATTGATTGCTTGAGTTACATCTTTAAACCAGCTGACACTTTTTGCTTCACTGCCTAAAGAAAAACAAAAACCGATTTGAACCTGTCCGTTGCCCATTCTGAATACATTTGGCTGACATCTCGAAACCCTCCCCCCACCACCCCTTGTAATTTCCCTTTGATTTCAAAGCATAAGCAATCTTTCAGAGTGGAATAACCAGATTGTGTCCTCAATTAATATGTCTCCCTAACATTTTGCCCATGAGGGGCCTTCAATTTATTGCCATAAAATGAGGCTTCTGGAGAGAGAACTTTTATAGCACTAGGAACTGTCTGCCGCCCTTACAGACATATGTATGTCCCCCCTGGATAATCAGCACCCACTTGGTATCCCTAAATGAGCATTCATAGCAATGCAATTAGCACTTGGCAAATAAGGTTTTGTTTTATTTGCAGTCAAGCCATAATAATCCCTGAAAGGGGAGTGATAAGAAAGGAACAAAACGCAGCTGTCTTGTATTGTCAGCTTGCTAACAACTAAAATTGGACCCTACCAGGACTTTCAACCACACTCTCATTCTTGTAGACACAGATGCTGACAGCAAGTGTGTCTTTTATATTATGTTTAATGACTGCAGTTGTAAAATAGGGCTGATGGTGGTCTGAATGAGCAACATGTTATCCTGAACAAGGACCAATGTTTATTTTGAAAACGCAAAGGCTCCTACAAGGTTGGGGTTTCAGATCATTTAATCGCCAAAAGAAAAATGAAATTTGATTTTATTTGTGTTGGTGCTGCTGTCAATCTGAATAGCTTACTCTAGAGTACAAAATCTTCGAAGAGCTACAGCATGAGATTATCCTTCTTGTACTTAACCAAAGGAATCCTTTACACAAAGCTTTTATCAGTTGTGAAATACAAGTCCCAGGTGGTAATCACCTATTAATGGAAGAGTAATAGCTAACAGAATAAGTCAA